TTACAATCAACTATCGCGATGCATCGCGAGACATAAAGACAGGAAGTGACATAGACGACAGGAGTTGTTGTCATCTGAAGACGATAATTACGAGTGGGAAGCTATTTTAGGAGAACATTTTGACGAAGATAATGACAATTTCTCTGTAGAACTTTGCAACCCCTGATCGATCTCGTGTTTTTCATTTCCTGAAATTAGGAATAAAAATAAATATACTGGGCTATTTTTATACAAAATTATGACGGAAGTCAAACAAAATCAGTGAAACTCGAAATAGCAACAATACTGACACACAATAGAACATTTAAACAGTCGCGTAGATCGCGTACTATGAAGTCGAACGCGACAAAAATAACGCACCTCCAGTTTTTACCGTTACTGGATCACGCTGATACGCTGAGAGAGATATGTACATGATACTAGCTATCTCATGTTTCGGCATCCCGGAACACGAAAACAAAACGGGTAACACACAAAGAAGTATGATCGTTCAAAACGCAGCGATAAGCTCTCTCCGAAAAAATATTGGAAACCTTCCGCAAAATCCGCAACAGCGAGAAATATCGTTTCAAAGTTGCTCATTATATATTCAAAAACTATTTGAGGTAAACACTAAGACATTCAGTTACTTGTAACTCCCCTGATTCTTGGTCGATTCTTAAAATTCTTACACAGCTGCAAAGGTCAAAATGTCCAGAACGCATCTCCCGTTTTTTTAAATATATCCGGATCCGTTTTACGAAGAAATACGCAATTTCCGAAGGAGCGCGAAGTGTGCAGAATATCCAGTCTCGGTAAACTTCGACGGTGTCTATGCCAACGCTACAGAGCGTAGCACGCGTAGCATATACAATTAAGCCGATTAACACCTTAAACAATAGGCGTTGCGAGTCTGTTGTATTACTAGTCTACGCTGAAACTAAACTAATTATATTATTAGCTTGTTTGTTTTTCTGTTGTTTATTGGGCCCGTTGCTGCCCTCCGAGTCGTGAATTGTTGCCGAGAGTGTGCTCATAACTATTGTCACTAAGAATTTGCTTTTTCGTCACTGTTGTGGTTCTCAGCCCACGCGGCCACGTAGTATAACTGCCATCCATTGTTGGGGGAAATATGAAAATGTTCTGAACTACCAGGAACGGGAGTGTGTGTTCGTTGATACAGTTTGTGAATTTCAGTGAAGGTTGACTAAATGACGTCATTTAATATTGATTTGCATACAATGCATCTACAATTAGTCACAATGTATGCCTTTTGAACTATTTTTTGTTGTTGTTGCTGACAGATTAAGTTGTCCAATAAACAAATATTGAAAAAAAAGACAACACTTTTGAAAGGTTCATCAACCTATAATATTGAATGGATTCTGATTTTAATGAATACTCGTCTTTAGGATACATGATTCAATATGAAGTACAAATTTGTGGTATACATTTTAATTATCTCCAGAAACAAAATATACGCAAGAGTAAAGACGATGTTTTATGCGGAAGGGCCGTCATCTGCGACGATAGCAACACACCCTAAAAATGCAAAGGATCATGGGTATATGCTTGTTTCTAAACAATGACATGCTAAGGCCATCTGACGCATGCGCAGGTACAACTCCCCCGCTTTAACATGTGATGTATAAGTACCGCGGCCACCATAAAATGTGATAGACCTTGTACCTCACGTATATATGATGTGACTGTAAACAACCGCACCTACAAGTGTAACAATTGTTTAGTAACATGATTAATAATACAGATTCATATAATAACTTCCTGTAAAATTGTTTTGAATCGTCAATGAGATTCTTGTTGTGTAGACATTGGTCACTGATCATTGCTAGATGCATCTTACTTGTGCAATACTAAATCAGTTCATGCGTACTCGCCAAGTTTAAGTAGCTTGGCTGACTCAATAGCACCCCAGCTACCAGGTTTAACATTCATGGCTAATTTGTACTGTTCAGCTGCACTTTGTTTTTCACCCTGGTGGTATAGAAATTTCCCATAATTGCAATGGGCATTTGCTCTGTCAATGGAATCATCACATTCCAGAAGTTCTATAAATATATTTTTTACTTCTTCGGGTGGCACACCAGCATGTACAGATACTTTTGCTAAATCGATCTTCGCTGAAACATTACCTGGATCGCTCTCAAGTGCCTTTTTGAGGTGTTGAATGGATTTAGCTGATAACTCTTGGTCGGTCATTTTTCCAGTATAATACATTTGTTTATAAATAATGCCAAGTTGATGATGAGCAAAGCTTGAATTGGGATCAAATTTGATTGCTCTTTTAATTAATTTGATAGCTTTATCAAATTTTTGCATAATTCTATACGCCTGGCCGGCCCTTTGAAGTAGAATGAAGTTATTTCCATCTAACTCCAATGCTTTCTCTATATTTAATATTGCTTGTGATTCTTCGCCTTTGGTTATTTGAAGCCTCGCTAGATATACTCTTGCAAAAACGTGATCTGGTTTTAATCGCAGGATCCTTTTTAAAAATTCTTCTTCTTCTTGTAAACATGCAGATCTTTTCTTTTTGTCAGTAATTTCATGTGCAATTTTACCTATTGCTCTGGCATATCCAAATAACCAATCCACGTTATCAGGAAACATGGACAATGCTTGCTTGTAGCATTGTATAGCATTGTTGATGTGCGTCCTGCTAAACCACTGCAGAGCGAAAGCTTCATGTGCCAATCGACATGCGTATCCTTTCTCTGTCAATTGTATTTGAAGTTCATCTATCTCGCTAATCAGTCGTTGCACATCTTGTAAGTTACCACAAAGATATGAAATCCATGCTTTATCCGCAAGAAGCACTACCTTGTCACCAATCGCCCAGTCATTATTACCTATTTCTAACTTGTTGTCACGTAAAGCCTCGTCGATCCACTTCAAAGATTGTTTCTTGTATTTCGTGGAATTGCCTTCCAGATCTGACATGTATAAGAAGCTTTTCAATGCCTTGGCTGGTACTCTCATCTCATTTGGATTGGATATCAAATGCTGATCAATATATCGCATATATTTCTGTTTACATGGTAGACAAACATATAA